CCAGCACCAACAACTGCTTCCCATTGGTGCTGCTTCCGTGTCTGTCTCTTCATCAGACAGGCACTTGTGCTGGAGCAACCGAGAACCGTCTAGGTAGAGCTCATCGAATTGAGCAGAATGGTTCTCGTGGGCTCGTAATCGCCGTTGCAATTTCTTGTATATATTAAACATTACCTTTATTACCAACAAATAGCCAAATCCTCATCAATTAATCTATATGACCTTACCGTATTGCGTCGCTGATAACGTCGCTGAACCACTTTCAGTTCTTCAGCAGCGGAAGGCGGTCGTCGCGACTTCGTACGCTCGTTATCAAAGAACGTATACACCATGTCCAACAAACGACGCTTGTTGACGTTGATATGGCTCAAGCTGTTCACGTACCTGACGATCAGATCACAAGCAGCGCGATTATGTGGATCTGTGAACACAGTCGAGAAACAGAAACCACGATCACCCAGGGTACGACTGTAGTCGCGGATGGCCTCTTATCAAACACATCATAGTCATCAATGTACTGCTAATCCATTGCTCGCCGTTGTATAATTGTTTTCTTACGGAAATAGTTGGCAAACGGCCTGGCGTGCTCGCTGTTTGGACCACACCGGGTTCTTGCTGCCCATGCTCAGGACGCGCTTCAGACAGGCGCGAAACTGTATCACCTATCGACGTCAACCGTTCGCGCAGCAACCTGTTTTCTGTCTCCACCCTTTGCAGCCGTTCTTCCGTCAATGCACGCTCGTAAGCAGTAGCATTCTCCTGCTGGATGGCCATACGACGGGATTCTGCTTCGCGCTCTCTTTGTGCGTTGATTTCACGTATGGTAGGCATCTATAGGATAACTCAGTACATGCAACGACAATGTATTGCCAGCAACTCTCTATGCTTACTTTGGTTGTTAGCACTAAGCAGTTCGATATCAAGAAAGGGATCTGATTCAGGAAAGTATATTTTTCAGAGCGTCTTTTATAATGACTTTATGTTTTGTCACTCAATTAGTTTATATTTGCTACAGATGAATACCGTTATTATTGTTTGCAGTCGGACCAATGTGGATTGGATTGGGGTTGGTCACGATGTAGTGCACTGTGTATTCATTCTTACCTTTTTTAAGGGCGTATTGGATTACTGCTCATCGACTATGGGTGCTACTATACATGCTCTTAGGAATGTAGCAAATTTAAGCGACATATTGCCAGCAGCAAATGTAAATGGATGGCGTTGTTTACGATAAAGGTTCGTAAAAGTTATGGTACGATAATAAAGTAGCACAATATAGATTGTGTTGGGGGAGTAATCAACGATCTCACTTGATGCTCTTCCTTGCATACTTGGACTTCTTCTACGCATTGTTTCTTACACTTCCTTTTCTTATGCACGGCCTGTTACTTTTCACTACGATCATGGCTATTGCACAGGCCACCACTTTCTTCAACGATTTAATATCCAGTGCTACGGGAACGCCAAGTGGATACAACTTTATCATGCTCAAGGTGTAAGGTGGTAGGTAAGATTGGAATACAGAAAGATGGATAAAGTATTGGTCGGTGGAATCGACGCGCTACTTGCATAATCTGTGGCAAATGTTTGGATCGGATTTTGTGAGTGTGCATGTGATGAGTACTTTTCAAAAGTTCTTTTTTTTTGGTTCACTGGATTCCCTTTCTCTTTCCTCTTCCTCCTCCTTCTTCTTCTTCCTCTCACTACGTAGCAGATACAACAGCCAGTTTTTATATACATCGATTTTTATTTACAGTCTTGTTTGAAGGTGATCCTCTTGGCTCTTATTCTTTCCTTTTTACATTTTTCTACAGTTTATCTTGCTTATACTAATGCACGCCTTCATTATACCATTTCATACAACACAGTTCGTACTTTATACCTTTTGAAGCTGCTGTCGCTGCCAGATGTTATATATAGCTAGAAGAGCGTAAGTTTCCCTTTTTTCATTTTGTCTACTGTATACCATTTATCTATAACCCTGACTAACTACAATCTACCACCCATCTCATCGTGCCACATGTACACTACGAACTTATTCATGCCTTGCTAAGGCTTCCTAACGTGATGAAATGGAGTGCTACTATTACGGCTGACTCATATGGATGATAAGGATCAAGGCCTTATAGGTATATGTATCTTTGTTAGTACTCTTTTCCTATGACATATGACGAGCTTCGTTGTCTCTGCACCATTGGTATATATCAAACTGCTCCTTTCGCGGCCGGTCTTTAACTCCTTCATCCTATGAATTATGCATTGAGGTTCAATCCATAACAATTAATTTTACTGTGAACAGTAAATTAATTTTAGTTATTCCTTTCCCTGTCAAGCGTCTACTTTTTTTTGTATTTCATCAAAAAAAATGTGACTGGTAGGCGTCGATCCAGTAGGTCTAGCCTAAAGGAGGGGGTGCTCACTACCGTTCCGCTACTTTTCAAATTAAATATTAAACCTTAAAGGTTATAACTCCTTTAAAGGTTTAAAAAGGTTTATGTGAAACATAAAAATTTTAAAGAATTAAAAAATCATATATAAATTAAAAACTTTTTTAAAAAAATTTAAAAAAGACAAAATCTTAAAAAAAATTATAATCTATTTTTTCATTTTTCCTAAATCTGTTTAAACAATTGTTTGCCTTTAATTAATAAAACTGTTTAGAAAACAACTGTTAAGGATTAATCCCCATTCTGGATTCTTCACTAACAATCTTCATTGTGTCTTTTAGGTATGTTATCTCCAAAATCGTTTATAAACATCTCCTTCTACGCTGCTTTTGCTTTCACTTATAATTTGACTCAACATGCATTTTTCCGTAGCAGGACTGCTATCCTTTGCACTATCTCTTTTCGACTACAGCCTTCCTTTTAAAATCATTACATAACATAGACTTACATTTGATGACGTTCTTTTAATGTTCTATAAAGCATAATCTTGTATTGATTTTTTATACAAAATATAATAAAAACGGTTGTGGACACCTATAATAATATATATATTACACATAACCATGAATATAAAAACCAATAGCATGCTTTGTCCGTTTACTATATGTGTAATAAAAAGAACGAAAATATGCAATGCGTAATCCTTCTTTTTACGAACCTACTACAGTAGGCACCCGGTCCAAATGCAATGTATAGTAAGACCGTTATAGACATCTACATGTATGATGTAATCAAATTATGAGCTTGGGGGACTACATGCGCATAAAAATATCAAGGTGTAAAAAGACCTTGATATTTACTCGAAAAGCTAAATATTAAGGTATTTGAAAACACCTTTATATTTTATAGAAAAGCTGTATGTCAAGGTAATATCAAGCTCTTTTCTACCCCTTGATATTCCCCTGCAAGCCCAGTGCTACTAAGTAACTGCCGTGGCAACTCTATATCTTGTTGCTGGCATGAACAAGTCGACTAGACGCGACATGGGGAAAATAGCCTCTATTGACAATGCAACGAAATATTGTATACCGTCCAAAGGAAACAAGTAGGTCTCGTGAAGGGTTGTGGCGGTTGGTGTGGAGGATGTGTTCTCGGAGGAATTTGTTGAACTATTCGCCTTTTTCTGATTCAAAATAAATAGCAGTGGCGAAACGTTCGATATCCTCCACGATGTGATGCAAGATGTGTAGCTTGGGTTTGTTACCCATCTTACTATTGGCAGTCATATTTCCTTGCGCAATAAGGAAATTGTCGACAACACCAATCATAGCCGTCGATTCCTCCGTCTTCTTGTTCAGCAGCAGCTTGTACATAGAGAACTTTGTTTCTATCTTGGACATGAATAATAGCGACATGACCTCTCCATGTACACGGAAGCAGTCAAAGAACGCCTGGAGACCCTCCATTTTCTCCTCGCTTTTTGCTGACCAACCATGATGGAGGAGATCGTTGAGGATGACGGCTGCTTGCTGGCTAATGACCTTGTAATCGCGACCGACAAAGGAACGGCGAAGACGCAGACTACTGCTGAGCATACGACGGAAGGCTTTCGAGTCGTAGCTGCGGCACTTGAGCTCGAGGTCTTTGAGCTCGTCGCTGTCAAGATAATTGCAAAATTCAAGCAAGAGATATTTGGTAACTCCCAGCATCGTGGTGTGCAGTATCTCTACTGGGCAGTCTTTCGTAATGTCAAACGCCTCGAGGTTGCCCAACGCCTCTACACTAGTCAGTTTATATCCTACAGCAGTAGGATTCGTTGTCATGGTGTCATTTGGCAATCGCACCGGATCCTCTAGATCAAGACCTATTGACAGCATTGCAACGTCAGTAATATTGCGAGGTAGAGCTGCCTAGTGCTCATCACATCCTTTATAGTAGTAGCACTTGCAACAAGGGAAAGTTGAAGCAAGGCCTTTGCTACACACGAGTTCGGCGTGCCGTGGATTGTCGGCCGAAATAAAGCACAGCGGCGCTACCACCAACACGTCCTGATTGCTAGCAGCATCGAACATCACCACACCCTTTTCAAGCTCGCACAAGTCCTCGACAATAAAGGGAAGCATCTCCAAAGCAGTCAATTTGTTGTGGACAGCGATCAAGTGCGTGTTCTCCCGTTTGTTGCGTTCAGTGAGTAGAAGCGCAGCGGGCGTTAGAGACCAGCTATTGAACTTGTTCCATTTTTTTGATCGGTTGCCGCTAGTGTCATCAATGAACAAGTTCACTGGTACGATCTTGACAGGCAGCCGACGATCGTAACACAGACCGATTCTGAAATCACTATGCTTCGTAAAGTCAATAGGGATGAACTCGCCGCTGTCGAAATCGCATATATCCCCAGTAGCACCGGAACTGGTCACCTTTGCAGCAACGTGCTCAAGATAATGCCATTTGCAATTGGCATCATAATCAAGGGCAAGTCTATCGATTGGCACTGTTATATAGTATAGATGTTCAGGATCGCTCTCGTAGGAAAGTACGGCTACTTCTATGTTACCCTGCTTTTTGGCCAGTTTGACGGGACAGATGTCGGCAAATGTAATACCATGCTTAGTGTAGAACTTTGCAATTTTGCACGTTGTTTGCTGCCCGATGCCGATTATTTTGGCATAATCACCAACCCAAAGCATTGCTCCTACAGAATTGGTAACGCACAGATGCTGGAATAGATTGCAGGTGTTCCATTTACTGCCTTGCATCAATTCGATTCGCTGGTCAGGCGTTTTGTCGGGTAGAGCACTCAAACTCGAAGAGACAGTTAGATCAGCGTTGAGGAGCTTTAAGCAATCTGATGGCTTATGCATATGTGCCGTAACTTTGACGGTTTCGTCTGTATTAGGCTTGCTGATCTCTGCTTTGACTGTTGTTATTCTTATTTTTGGCACTTTGCTTCGCTTAGCATACGATGGATCCATCATCCAACGAACAGATGGCACTTTGAGGTCCTTATCCTCACGAAACATCACGGCTACATCTTCGAGAAGACTTTTCAGCTGCTTTTTAATCATCCTGTCTTTCAGGCGATCGTCTGCAGGGAAGAAGGCAGCAAGACGAAATTGCAACTGGCTCTCGAAAGGATACCAGTCTTCGTTGGTCTCGTAGTCGACGCTGAAATCGAGCGGATTATCACCATCATCATCACCTTCGTCGATTTCATCGTCGCTGCCACCATTACTCTCCACATCAGCAGCGAACTCGGCATTAGCACCGGATTCCTGCCACCGAGAGAGGAAAACACGTACGACTGACGCAAAGCAGCAATGTCGACCGGCTCGTCGTCACTGTCATCGTCGTCTTCGACGTCGTCGTTGCTACCACTATGCTGCTGCTGGTGCTCCTCTCCCGAATTGGTGCTGTCAACGTCCATATCCTCAGCATTAGAAGCCGAAGCACGGACGATGCAGGCATCATAGTCAGCAACATTCACCTGATGTTTCGATGAGCTAACATGAGTTTTCCAGTTTCCTAAGCCATCTCCAAGCTTGATGACAGTGTTACAAGGAACACATGTTTTGGTTTTAGGCTGCTTCTGAGTTTGTGCGTTAATGGAGAAGACGTTGAAGGACATGGTCGAATGGAGATGGTTGTAATTGAGAATAAAGGTGAGTGCAAAAGAGAAAAAAAAAAGGTTAAGTGCTGAGTTAAATTAAGAATGCCTCAGCTCAATTTCCGTCTCCCTTTTTCTCCACCTTCTTCTTGCCCACCATCTTTTGCAATTCAGGTAACAATGTCTTACTTATTTTCTTCGTTTAAGACCATTGAAACCTAAATTAATATAGCATCTTCTTAGATGTTCTCAAACTAATCTGTAGGCTATTATAAAACAAGGTAAGAATGCTTAGTTGCTGGTTTGAAATTTGAAAAAAGCTCTCTTTAGTGACTAATCTCTTTTTGAATTAATAGTCATGATGGTGCTATAAGTGCTTTTATTGGAGACTCTCTGTAAGTATACGTTTATTCCTTTAGGGCATAGGCTATTAAACGGCATGGAAATCGCTGATATAAGTTTCTGTTAAACCATAGGCTAACTATAGGCTATATGAAGTACATGCCGATTTATACTGCTCATATCTTTGGTAATTTGAAAATGATGACGCGTTGACAAAACCTATATAAGCTATTAAGGCTAATCATCATCTTTTTAAAAGCAATACTAGATTGGCATAACCTCAAGTAACAGATTCACAACTGTTTTTTGAAATTCTTTTTGCAAGCTTGAAAGCGTCATCGATTATTTTATTAGTGTGTTTAGTTACGCAGTATCCATAAAATTTAGCCCATAATTATTTTCAATAAAGGTTTTTTTTACGCCAATCCTATTCCAAAATGCAAAGCCTCATCATCTGCATCTCATCGTAAATGCATGAGGGGTGGGGGGACCTGGTTCTTTTTCTGCTGTCCCAATATGGTAGCTGCATGCGATAACTCAAAAAGGCAACTGGTTTCCTCTTTTTTTTTGCACGGGTGTGTACATCCTATAATATAATGATGCTTCCCAATAAGAAGATTGACTACTTGAATACAAGTACCTTATACATATTATATGTATATATAGGTCACAACGGGTCAATGGGCTGACCCGCAGGTCAGAAAAGCATCAACCTAACCTATTGACCTGTCCTTAACCCGCAGGTCAGATTGCGACCCCTATGTAATACTACTCAATCCTTTGACTTTGCTATTACCATCCACATTCTCTTCTAAATGACAATGCTACTGCTATTCACATCCTCTTTTATACAGCATTTTGCGTTTGAAACTATAAAATTTCTAGGGGGTGTAATATAGAGATGAACACCGGTGCGAAATACTGTATTTGATTGGTTGGAGAATAGAAATGATTCGTGATAAACAGACTCTCCCTGGTGAGAAATTAAGGGCGTCTAACGGCTCACTTCCTTTTTTTCCATGGGCGATGGACGCTGTCTAAGAACGCATCAGGCTTATTTTCATAGTATGAATCAATCTTATATTCATCACAACAATATTTCATTAAACAGAGGTCTTGCCTCACGGCAAACTTCCTTTTCCCCGTGGGCGACGGAGGGCATTCAACAGCGCACCGCGCTTGCTTCCCCGACACCAATCGAGCTTCTCCATAACAACAAGACATTCAATGAACAGCGTGACATGTTCCACTAGTACGCAGACCAATTTTTAGAGCTTCAAAATCTATTTTGTGATTTTTCGTCCAACAGGTAAACTCGCATTGCTGGCCATACCAGCTGTACTGCCATAGTTCAAGCGTGAAGACTGAAAATTCTAGTAAGTGCATTTTTGCCACAGGTATCTAGACTCTTCAAAGGGCATCATTTTTTACTTGAATATAATATTTACTGCACAGAGAAAAAAAAGTTTGGCATAAGTATAACTAGTGTAGAAGGACAGGTGCATAGTGAAAGAGTGGAATGGAAAAAAATAAGTTGACATAGGTACGACTAGCGTGCATGAAGAAAGAAGTGGAAAAGGAGGGCATAAAAAAGGAGTGTAATGGGTACAGAAAAAACATAATAGCATTCCTACTGGATTTGCTCTTTTGCTAAGCAGCGATCGATATACGACTTGGCTTCGCTCACCCAACGAATACATTCTGCAGCTGTGATCGTCTCTGCGGCTTCCTTAATATGGCTTGCCAAGCTATCTTCATCCGTCAAAGGCGTTCGTCGTATGCGCGATTGGATGGCCTCCCAACATGGACGGCACAGGTCAAGGAACGTAGAATTGTTGGGCATGTAAAGTAGGAAATGGCCTGCATTCCGTACCGCGTTCACAAACGGCCTTTCCCGGAACAAGTGTCTGTTTGCCATGACGACACCGCATCGAAACTCACCTTGACTGATGGTTTTGAAAACCTCACTAGCAAACTGGATTAAGTGGTCCGGAGCAGTGCCTTTTGCCTTGCCGACCTTCTCCATCTGTCGCTGCTTCCTTTGAGCTTCAGCCACCATTGCCTCTTGGGAAACGGCCAGAACACCCCCTGCAGTGAGGCACAAGAAGATGTTCAAATCGTAGGATTTGGCCTCAGACCTTGTTGTGCGTGCTTCAACGACCAAGGTCTCCGACATGACAACCGCTCCTTCGCTGATGAACATGCAGCCTTCGATGTAGTCTAGACTATGGGACATCAGCTCACCGGCAAACTTGCTACGACTTTCCAGAATATCGCTGGTGGTGGTGTAGGGAGGGACTGCTGGTAGTACAAGCGTGAATGCAACTGTTTGCTGGATTCGCTCCTTGACAGTTTTTTGACTAATTTTTAAACCTTTTAAATTTGTAGTATTAGTATGATAAAACGAGTATTCAAGTCATGTTGCATGTTGTAATAAATAGCTCACCTTCTAGTTGCTGGCACAGATCATCCTACGCATCCTTGACCTTTACGACGTTCGCATTTTGGTCAGCTACGCTTTTGACGTAGAGATCCACGATTTGCCTTTGTTCATCAGTGAGGTCGATCTTGCGCGGTCTCTTTATCTGGTTCTTGGCCTTATAACCTGGAGTCACACTGCTGTCTTCTTTGTGTTGCTTGTACAACTGATGGGCGCACGAATTACTGATGTTGGTCAATTCGGCTGCTTTTCGCACGGACAGCTTCTTATACTCCACCAAACTGATCATCTTTGCCACCTGATGAGGAGTATACTTGATCAATGTCCACACATGGTCAGCCGGTGCAATAGGTTCGAACGTTAAGAGTAACATTTTTATATATTAAAAATTTAAATATTTCTTTAAAATTAAAATATTTTCATTAATTCTTTTTATTTTCTATTTTTAATATTATTTCTAAAAATAAACATATTGTGAAAGTCCAATTAATATATTAATTTATATAGAAATATTGTGTAACAATTTTAATATCTATTTTTAGTACAAATATTGAGCTTATATACTTAGTATTTTTAGTAATAGGAGATGTTACTCTAAATCGTAGTCGTCGCTATTATCGCTGCGTGAGATGTCGTCAACAGCCATGGTGTTTTGGCCATTGCCATTGGTGCGGTCAATATCAATAGCAATATTTTGTGCATCGTCACCAGAGGTCGAGGTGGTAGCACTGGTTTCACGCAGATAGGTGTTTTTGCTGACTTCGTAGTAGTAGTAGAAAGTGGTAGAGATCATGTTTAATGGAATGGGATGCTGTTGATAGATTGTCTTAGTAAATCAATAAAATCTACTGCGTTTATATATGTTCTGGAAACGTGTTTGCGTATACATCATGAATATTGTGCTCATATAGCGCATCTATCATTGAGATTTATATATTGATAGAGTGTCCGTGCTCTACTGTACAGCTTGATACCACGGTTTTACGTCACAAAGTCTACGATTATAGTAAGCACATTATTCTATGCAAAGAAAAGAATTAAACAAGTTTTGGCATCACAGATATTAAGTGCAGATTTATTAAAAACTAAAATTACGCGGATTGGATAAATGTAAATTTTGAAATCGAACAGAAATAGCTGCATCACTGTCATGCTCTGGGAAATTTTGTTGTTGTTGGTGCCGATATTGCTGCTCAAGCTCCAAAAGGAACCTGTGCCGTCTGTGCCATGTCCAATGCACCGTGGCTGTGGACACTTTAATGTATTCGGCTATGCTTTTCATTGTGTGCCCAGCCTGATACAAATGTATCATCGTTCCCCTTTCTTCCAAAGAGATTACCCTGCGACGGCGGTGTGGAGTACCCAGGGGCGCTTGTTGCCTTTCTAGTAGGCGGCCTGTGTAGTCGAACCTTCGTCGGGCATCCCAATCATCGAGAACACCTGGGTTGTCCCGCATATACTCTTCACGGAGCTCTAGGTATCCTTATTAATAAATGCAGTTAATATCACCTGGCTAATTAGAGTAATAACAAAAGTATATGTAGCGCTACAATCATACTCTGCATAGTTGGGTCGTTCAATATGCGTTCCATGATACGTTTACTGGTTACTTGACGGTAGGTAATGACGAAAATTATGTTGATGATATATAGCGATAAAGAAATAAGCGTATGGATAATGTAAAACATTTAACGGGCTTGAATGATCAAATTTGCCGGATTTTTATATCGAAATTGCATAAAACACGGCAAGATTTCAATGCGAGGTTCCTTAATATATTGCGAGCTGACGATGCGACATCAGAAACAGCGCTAACGGACACTCTGTACTACTAATGAGAAGCTTACAAGGGCATTGTCTGTACGACGATACGTGTGGTTGCGCCTCATACTGTGCATAGGAGAGATCGATGATTTCGTCAAAAGGAAATTGGATAGCAGATAGTATAACAAAAAAAATATAATAGGTATGTAGTTATGTAAAAATGTTATCTGAAATCATATTAAACTGTATGCAGTAAATACTCGTCGCATGGTCGATCCATCTGTTATGATCGATAAAGAAGTTTTCTGGTTATGTACGTTCTCCTTGAATGGTGGCTACTGTATTGGCATCAGTCGAATATGAAGTTGGTTTTGTTATCCATGATACAGCAGCGAATGTATTGGAGCACTATCTAATTTAATATTATTGAGCTTAAAATAGCTATTAGGTCGAAAAGATACATGCAACCATGGTCTTCTGTTATTATAACATGCTGTCAAAACGAATTACAGCAGCAAAGCTCCATGTGGTACTCTGTTGTGTGCTACGAAACAAATCAGGGAACTAGATCGTATAGAAAACTCCATGCAGCCCAAAAAACATTGAGCTAATCTAAAAGGGGCTAAATGGAGTAAGAATAGCTATAGAATGAGCGAGCATAACGTTGAATGAATGCAAAAAACACGACGAATGAATAGATATAACGAATAACCATAATAATAGAAGCATACATGATTGATGGAACAAGCATCATAATAGTAGTAAAGCGAACGTAGTAAGCAAATCAAACAAATAAAACGAACGTGGCAAGCAAATCTAACAAATGAAACGAACGTGGCGAGCAAATCTAACAAATGAAACGAACGTGGCAAGCAAATCTAACAAATGAAACGAACGTGGCAAGTAAATCTAACGAATGATATGAATGTGGCGAGCGAATCTAACGAATTTAATGATCATGGCAAGCAAGCATTACAAAATGTAACATACACAGGGGGCAAACATAGCTAATGAAACGTAATAGTAAAAGGAGAGAATGAAGCTAACAAATGCAATAAAGTGTTTAGCAAATAATTAAAAAGCGAAATGAACAGAACGAATGCGTGATCCAATATATTAAACGAGTGAGCACATATATCAAAACGAATGCAACAGATAGTCTGTACAGATAGTCTATTTTAGGAAAAGAATGAACTTAACTAACAGATGTATGAACCATTCGTACAGAGCGAATAAATTAATAAAACGAAATCATTGACCCGACAAACATAATGCATAAATGGTGCGCCATGCAAATATTATAACACGCGATTATATGTATACTAGCAGAAAATCTATTATGCAAACGATTCAAATCTCCTTTACAGGAGCAGGACTATCGTTTTGCATAGAGAAATTAACCTAAAAGGGAAACAAAAAAAATGAATAGAACAGAGAGAGAAGAATAATCTTTTTAAATAGATACACATATCGAAATAAATCGCCATATTGGACGTACCGGCATATAAAATTATAGTTCAAATGCATTCTAAGCAAACTACATAATACCCTACAGTTGCACAGAGCGAACTGGCACAGAAAGAACACATACAAAAAAGGAGAAGTGAACAGTCCACTAGTGACTGACATTTGCCAAAAGAAAGGTATACTGATGACAAGAGAGTAATAAATAGAATCTGCTCAACGAGCATATCGATCGTACGTAAACGGTTTTCGAGATGCAATAGCACGCGTGTATCAAATCATGAAAATCTTAAGGTAACAAAAACAGTATGGCATAGACAGTGTATGTAGCAAATCTATCACCCCCTTTTTCATACCATCTGAGCACCCCCTTTGATTGATGATCTGTTTATATTTTATGGCTTCCATCTTAATCTTACTTATTATGATGTACATATCTCTATTATCCATAGTTGTAAAAGTCTTCCAGAAATTTTTTGGCTCATATTTAACGACCATGTCTGTGTGCATGTAGCACTTGCAGCACAACGCTGCTTGTGCCACCCATGTATATAATTGTGATCAATACCTATATACTATTTATGGTTTTCCCTCTATCAAATACGCTGTTGTATTTTTAGATTGAGTGTGTATGTGTTCTAATAGCACTGTAACAAAATATATTCATCCAATTATTCTCATTGTTGCTAGTGGCAACAAATTAAGATAGTGACCATGAAATGATACGAACGTGATTCTATTACTGCAGATGAACTACTACATAGAAGTTCAAGTGACTGGTAGGTGCATACCATATACACATTACTGGCTTATTTACATGGCCAATGCTATGTTCTTGGCCAAAGTGCCTTGCACTTTTTATAGTTTAGTCTCTCTTTTTCTCATTTGAACATACACAACTCTTCACTTCTATCTAAATTTCTAAACAACTCGTTATCGTTAATATTATGGATCACAACATGCAACAAGAACAACCTGCCACCGTCGCTACTGATTCATAGTCTACTATCACCATGTATCACTATCAACCAGATGGTGATTACTACGTGCGCGACGGCCCAGAAACTGAGGCAGATTCATGTGTTCATACCGTGTACAGGATGACTGTTGTCCCTGAGGATGGTGACGCAGGCGAAGCTGGTAACATAGACATCGATGAAGCACCAACACTCGACGACGATATCATCATGACTTCAGAGCCAGTCAACTATACATGGACGCGTTATAAATATTCTGCACGCCAAGTCGGTCAACTCGTCAATCTCCATATCAACCGAGGTGATCCGGTTCGTACAGCTGCTGCAAAGGCTGGTATTGTACAAGCGTCGGCATACAACATCATAAAGGAAGCAGCAAACGACAGAAAGGTGCTCCCTGGATATCTACCAGCAGCCGATGTTAAACGAGGAAACAACAAGAAGCTGAACGGCCTACATTCTGCTTTTATCAAAGCCAAGATTGACCAGTGTCCCACTATAGCTGTGAAGGACATGCATGAAAAACTATACAGTACTTTTAAAGGTTTGTTAGCAAAATATCAACAGAATGTATAAGTAAACTTGTTGCATAGTCTACATCGCTAAAATTATATTGAAGATCTTACTATTAGTGAAAGTGCTGTATATCGGCATATTACAGAAAAACTCAAATACTCCTTGAAGCGCACTAAAAGAATACCTGCCGACCGTAATTCCACCAGGGGCCTTGACGAGCGAGCTGCCTTTGTTGCTGACCTAAAAACCCAGGGAATCGCTTATAGTACAAATTGTGTCTTCATTGACGAGTGTGGATTCTCGAAGGCATACGCACGTCCTTCAGCTTGGTCAAAGATAGGCACTCCAGCAGCTGTTACTGTCCCAGCACTGCGATCCATCAACGTCAGTATTATTGGTGCTATGTCGAGCAAAGGCGTTATATTGCTTTCAAGGCATGCACCACCAGAAGAATACAAGCAAACGACACCAGAGTCATCTCGTAAACGGAAAAGAACGGCCCATGGTACAACACGCGATCATTTTTTGGATTTCATTAACGATTTGGTGGACATTCTGGAGGAGTTGGGCTTTCGAAACATGTGCCTAGTTATGGACAACGCAAGGATCCACAAGTGGGACAAGATCGAAGAAGCAATCGAAAGAGGCGGCCATCGCATAATTTTTGTCCCTGCATATTCACCATTTTTAAATCCCATCGAAGAATGCTGGTCAAAGATCAAGGGCCATGTTACAAAAAAACCGCTGACAACTGAAGATGACCTTATTGGACGAATCGAAAAAGCAGCATTTACAGTGACCAAAACCGATTGCCAACACTGGGTCGATCACTCGCAATCCTACTTTCCTGCATGCCTAGCAAAGCAGCCTATTATATAGGTATAGCCCTGATTTTAGTTCTCTTCGTTTTACTACTTTTACTGTAATACCAATACATTTCACCCTCTAGATTATATAAAACACGTTTTGGAACAGTATAATTATGTCGTTAGAAACGATAGTGTAGCTGGACGTGGACGTTGGTTACAGTAAATCACGTTCGTATTATCACTCTTCTGCTGTAGCAAAGTTGATTCTACATATAAATCAGAGATCCTCACTCTCAGACTTCCTATCTTCCTTCCACATAATAAATTCACCACCCAAAGGTGCTACATACAGCACGCCTGCTTCGGGAAGCTTTGTACTAAAAGTGATTTTAGCTTGCTACAATGTTCGAGTAGGCCATACCAGGGAAAAATGATCTGTCCACCTAATAGAACATTTTGTACAGTGTGCAGTTGTTACAGAGCAATCACTCTCACCAGCTAATGAATAAATTCTATGATGAAATGCACCAGGTCATATACATCGCTTGTGCACTTGCTAGAATTTTCAGTCTTCACGCTTGAACTATGGCAGTACAGCTGGTATGGCCAGCAATGCGAGTTTACCTGCTGAACGAAAAAAAAAGAATGAGATGCAGGAAGGAATTGATCCACTGTAGATTCAGAAAGCCTTGTCACAAAATCGATTTTGAAGCTCTAAAAATTGGCTGCGTACTAATGGAACATGTCACACTGTTCATTGAATGTCTTATTGTTATGGATGAAAAAGCTCGATTGGTGTCGGGGAAGCAAGCGCGTGCGCTGTTGAATGCCCTCCGTCGCCTACGGGGAAAAGGAAGTTAGCCGTGAGGCAAGACCTCTGTTTAATGAAATATTGTTGTGATGAATATAAGATTGATTCATACTATGAAAATAAGCCTGATGCGTTCTTAGACAGCGTCTATCGCCCATGGAAAAAAAGGAAGTGAGCCGTTAGACGCCCTTAATTTCTCACCAGGGAGAGTCTGTTTATCACGAATCATTTCTATTCTCCAACCAATCAAA